GTGTGTGAGAGAGATAGAGAGAGTGTGTGTGTGTGTGTGTGTGTGTGTGTGTGTGTGTGTGTGTGTGTGTGTGTGTGTGTGTGTGTAGTGTGTGTGTGTGTAGTGTGTTGTGTGTGTAGTGTGTGTGTGTGTGTGTGTGTGTGTGTGTGTGTGTGTGTGTGTGTGTGTGTGTGTGTGTGTGTGTGTGTGTGTGTGAAGGAAAAAGGTGGGAAAGGGGGGGCTGTGTTTGCTTTTTCTACATCGAGTCTTCCTTTTATAAATGGCTTTAACAGATTTGATAGGGATCAATGTGTCACAGAGCCATTACACACACTATCACTCAACATATGCGCATGCTTAAATAATAAACGCACTCTAAAAACAGTTTCCTTTATCTCGAGAAAAAGTCATAAATCACAAGCAACCTAAAAAAAAATACAGTATTTTTAACATAAACAAGGACACTGCGTCTAATCTCATTGGACTCGTTGTTCCACTTCTGTGTCACACTTACTTACCATTACACAAGTATGAATATGGAAGAAAAAAAAAAGCTATATAAAAGCTATTCCTTTGGGAGTCCGCTCAAGAACAAAGACAGTGATACTAGCAATTTCCTCTCTGACATTCACGCAATTTTTGAAACATTCTAACAGTTTTTATGAGCACAGGGGTCGTGAAACTCACCGTAAATTACCGTTTAAAGTGTCGATTCAAGTATTGAAATAAAAATAAAAAGGCAGTGAAGTGATATACACCTGACTGCGTCAATATGTCTCTAAAATAATCTCACATGGCGTGCTGGTTCTGTTCTCTGCATCCATTTTCTTTTTTATTCGTGCCCTCTCTTTATACCACTCTCTATTTCTTAGTCCTGTGTTCCCTATTACAAACCAGTATCCCAGTGACCTCCACAGAGTCTCCGCAGGCCACATGACCTAGAGAGGCGGGTGTCAAAGGACCTTCTTATATCATTACACACTCACACACACATAAACACACTCACACACACACATAAACCCTCTAGTGGCAGCAGTAATTGCTATGCCACGGAAGGTCATTTCCAGAGATGATACGGAATAAGGCCAGCTTGCTTGGGACTATTTCGCCCTAATCTGACCCCGTACTGTGTGTGAGACAAAGACAGTTGGTGAATAAACTAATCATCTGTTTATATAAATTACTTTTAGATGTGATCTGTTGATTAAAGAATACCGTCTCTTTCTCAAAGACTAGGATGTATTGGACAACCTAACTCCTTCCTTAGTCTTCACTGAAGTCATTTTAGACACCTTCTTTATTTAACAATTTATACACCTTTTTTTCCCCGTTAATTATTAAATGTAGTACTTTAAATAGCATACTGACAGCTCGCAAGACCCAAATATAAATGTTAAACACTGTGTGCCAACAAGCGGGGCCATGTTGACAAATATTGAAGGCTACAAAAAAAAAAAATACCACCATAATTATTTAAAATATGTTATTTCTGGCATCACTACTGCAACTGAGGTAAATAAATATATTAAACAAGTGAAAAGTCTACCTACCAAAAGCGTCCCTGAGGCTTCGTGCACATCAAGGCCACCCATTTTGGTTATACTGAACAGAGAAACCGACAAAATAGTATCCATATTTGTAGACTTTAACTTTTTTATAAAAACATTACAACGTTAACGTCTACTGATATTCAGTTCAATTGATGCTTATTGGTAGTGAAAAAAAGAAAAAAGAAAAAGAAAAATGTAAATATATAATTCCCTATGCCTTTTTAAAAATACAGTTTTTGCTGTGCACATAGAAAGAAATGAATGTTTCCTTGTGCGTCTTGTCTGAGTGCAGGTCATGTTGCGTTGGTGGGCTAAGTTAAATTGACAGGTGCTTTGTTTGTGTGTGTGTCTAAGCCTCACCGTGCCTCACTTTCAGACGAGCCTTGTTTGTTAGTGGCAGATCGATGCAGCTTACCGACTCACTCCGAGTCCGATGAAAGGAGAGGTTGCTCGTCGGAAAGAAATCCGCCATTTGCCTCTCGACTCCTCTGTTGATCCACTTTGTCGTGGGTCATCGTGCACAATGTCACATCAATTGAAAGCACTGATAGGAAGAGACAGACAAAGACAGAAAATACTTTCCTCTATCAGACTGTATTCTTCTGACTCTTTTAATCTCGCTGCACTTAGCTGGCTCACAGGTGAATAGTTTATAAAAAACATGGCTAGAAACTAGTGCGATTTTCAACTCTTAATAGAGAGGAATTTAATGTCATGTATTTATAGGAGCACAAGTTTGTTTAACAGGCCCCTGGAGACCAAGTGCCAACCACAATGGGTGAACGCTGAAGCCAGTGCAAAGTCGCCTTCAGCAGCACTTTTACTAATGACCACCATATGTTATTCAGTCTGAATTTCAGCACTTTAGTGAAAAGGAGAAAGATAACATGAGAATATTAGAAGAATATAAAGACAAAAAGATTTAGATATGATTGAGTATAACTCTTTTTGATACATATGTCTTTACAATTTGATTTGTATATATTCAGTGCTTGTGTTTCATATTTCTTCATGATATTCTAAACTAACAATTTCCCAATTTGGGATCAATAAAGTTGATCTAATGTAATTGAATCTGTCTGTTGGTGACAGTTTTAAAAAGTACTCCTCCAATAAGGATATTTCAAGATTTAACAAGGTTTTTCAGATGTCTTTGATTGACAGGTGTCTCAGCCTATCACAGCCTGATGTGGTGGTTGCTGTTTGCATCTTCAACGCAATCTTTTAGTCCTTCCTCTAATTTAGATATTTGTGGATTTGGGGTTGAATGGCCAGAATCTGGTTTTGCTTTATCTTTAAAGGGCCACTCCACCTTTTTAACACTCAAAGGTGCTGCAGGTTTATCTGTTGCCAATAATCTTCGAGTAGGCTTCTTTGGTTTGAAGACAATATATTGACTTAGATTTGAGACTTAGAATATGTTAGTAAGAAACTTTCTTTTAAACTGGAGAATAAAAGGACAAAACCCAATTCTAGTTTGAAAAATAGTTTCTTGCAATTACGCTAATTTGATGTTCTTTTTAAATATGTCTAAATCTTAAACTGAGTGTGGATTGTTATTTAGAAACAATTACAAATGCACTTACTTTGTTTCTATATGAACATATAATTGATTTGCAAACGTACTATGATTTTAACATAGATATAATTATAATATATGTTTTACTTTGCAGGGTTAGGGTTAACCCTTATTAATAATAATAATTAATAATTACCATGTTCAAAGAAAAACATGTGGGCAAAACACACAAATCAGTTTGTTTTCATAAAAGCATATTTAACTGAAATGTTTTAATTTTTTTATTTAGTTTTTCAGACAGATTGAAACACTGATCTTTCTTCATGCAGCATATTGTATGCAGTACAGAGTTATTGACATTCTCCTCTATACTTTTAATTCTTATACATTTTTATATTTCTAATTGCATTATTTGCCAATTTTAAATTGTTCATATTTTGTGTACTAATGGTTTCAAACCAAATATTCTCTCAATGTTTTCCAATTTTCCTCAGTACGTTGTGTTTTGCTCAGTTCATTGTATTTCAGGCCACTTTTCTCTTCTTCAAAACTGTTAGTTTTATTATATTCATAGAGCCCATTCTTCCCGTTATTATTTGCTTTATTCCTTTTTTTTCAAGGGGATTAGTGATTTAATGATTCCCGCTAGAAGTATTAAAGTCTGATCATATTTTAACTTCTCTTTTGAGATCAGCGGGAAGAACTCAATTCCAAACTTTGATATGGTTTTCTGACGACGCTTTATAGACTCTTTGTCCTCTATCAGCCTGGCGTGCACACACAGCACACTCACAGCGCGCTCCTCCTACAGCAGGAAGTGAGACCAAGCTCGCTTCTCTAGGGATTTTCACTGCTTCTTTGTCTAGGATGTTACCTTTTTAAAGTATTAATCCATTTAAAGAAAGTTACTTAGAAATGCAATGAGACATGACTGCACTAATTCCATCTTTTAAATAAGTAAAAAAAGTAAGTTTGAGTATTTCCTCCACCTCTGACTTTGAGTGACTTGCATGAATAAGGTTTGTGAGCATTTCATATCAGCTTGTGTTTATGCTCTCTTCTCTCCTGTTTTAATGTATGTGCAGGCGCTGTGTGCAGCGGTGGTGATGCCTGATGTGCTGCAGACCATGGAGCTGGTGTTCAGTGGGGCGGATGTCCTGTGTGCCACGGGGGATCCGACCTGCTCCACCCCATATCTCCTGGCCCAACGCACTGGGCTGAAGCTACACATGGAGTTCCTGCACCAAAACAAACACTCTGGTAAGAAACTGTAGGTACGGTTTGGGCCACTATTTCACTTTACTTCATTGGCTTACCACTTTATATCAGTATAACAGTGGGTCTCTTTTCATTTGTAGCTTAAAACACCTGCTTTATGAAAACTGTTGCCACCAGATCAACCGTAGTTGGCTTGCTAATATATGATAACACCAGGGTTTCCACTAAGATTTTTTCTCGCCGGTTAAATGTCAGGACAGAATTTATTTTACTGGAAACATTTGAAACTTACCGGTCATGTTGTTATAATAATAATAATAAGAAGAATTGTGCAGCAGAGTTTCCGTTAGCAGGTAATTACCGGACTAGGACCGGATATGCTGATGTATAAAACTCAGTTAATGGGAGTCATTTTTATATTGCTTCAGTTTATAATCGTAACAGATCGAAAAATTCAGATTCATTTTTCAATAAATGATTCCAAAAACAACATCATTATTACATTCAAAGAAACTACTTTCAGTAGATGAAGGACATTATTCAAAAGTTTACATTAACTTTGAAT